TAAACTTTTTGAAAAAGTATTATACGAACAACTCCATGAGTATCTTGTTACACAGAGTTGTTGTCCCCTCGTCAATTTGGTTTCAGGAAGTTTCATTCCACAGCCTCTGCTCTTTTAGATAGTACAAATGAATGGTTTATTAATATGGACCGTGGTTTGTTTAATATAGCTGTTTTTCTGGATTTACAAAAGGCGTTCGAGACCATAAATCATGACATCCTCTTAACGAAACTTGATCTTTATGGCCTACAGAAGCCATCATTAAACCTTTTAGGATCCTATTTAGCGAATAGAACCCAAATGTGCTCCGTTAATGGCGCTCTGTTGGGCACAAAGTTGGTTACATGTGGAATCCCTCAAGGTTCAATTCTTGGCCCACTCTTATCCTTGATCTACATTAATGATCTGCCTAACAGTTTGGAGTACTCGTCGACAAGAATGTTTGCCGACGATACGACTCTAACTGTATCTGGCAAGTCAATCCAAGATGTAGAGGTGGCCATAAATCATGACCTTACCAATGTTAAACAATGGCTTTCTGCAAATAGATTATCTCTTAATCTAGTCAAAACTGAGTATCTACTAATAGGATCTCGGTACAACATAAATAATTTACTTGCTGCTCCAAATGTATTTGTTGGTGATACACCAATTAAAAAGGTGAAAGAAACAAAAGCGCTTGGAGTTCATATTGACGAATTTCTATTGTGGGATAAGCATATTGATAAAATTGCTAAGAAGATTTCATCCGGAATTGGGGCGATCAGAAAGCTAAAATCTTGTGTGGATCATAATACATTAATTTGTGCTTATAATGCACTTATACTTCCCCACCTAGATTATTGTTGCGAAGTTTGGGACACCATTGGTGCCACACTTTCTGATCGACTCGAGAAACTACAAAATAGGGCAGCTAGAGTTATTACTGGCCGTAAAAACGAACACGGTCAATCTGAACTTGCTCTAGACAAACTGAAATGGAAACATTTAAGTGAACGCAGAACCCATTTCGTAGCAAGTCTTATGTATAAAATAACTTGCGAACTGGTGCCAAAACGACTTACCAATATTTTTCAAAGGACGTCTTCCTCTTATTACTATAATATGCGAGGCTCTTCCACCAAACTCTTTTTGCCCAAACCTAAGACTGAATATCTTAAAAAAAAGTCTTAGTTATAGAGGAGCGAAATTGTGGAACAGCCTTTTCTGATGAAGCAAGAAACAAACACACTCTTGCTTCGTTTAATTCATGTATACGACACCTGGCCAATTAATTAATTAATTAATTAATTAATTAATTAATAAAATAATTACGTTAATTAAAAATATTGAACAGTACTAACATTAATCAAATTTGTAAATAATTATATACTAGTTGTATTTGTAAATGTATTGTCATTGTTGTTAACTGTAATGTAATGTAATGTATGACCATAATTTGTATCAGTTGTATTTTTTAACTATTTAAATCTATGTCCCCCTTGGAAATCAGCCTTCGCTGTAGGGGTTAGCGTAGTTAAATAAAGTTTTACCTACCTACCTACCGTAGCATATGCTACAGTTGCAACGGCCTGGATCTGCCCGGCCCTGGACTAGTTTCATATATGGAGCCATATTTAAGGGACGTCTTGTAAGAAGTTCTTGTGACATGACATGCCATCACATGTTATGACATGCGATACGTTAATTAAACCATAATATTATGGTAATAGATATAATTGTTTAGAGAATCTATCTTCATTATTCACTTATGAGAATTTTCACGGTCTTAATTTTATGGTCATTTTTTGGCCAGATTTATGCTTCAAGATTAATTTATGATTCAAGCTAGTGATAGATTGGAAGCACTTTTTGGTGTATCTATTTTAGAAGATAAGGACCACATGCGCAATGAGTTGTGGTATGTCGTGTATCAAATGTCAAGCTAGTGTGGTTTGCAAATTTTTTACTTTTTTGTTCGAGTATATTTCTAAGAAGAGAAGCCCGCTTTTGACAGGTTTTTGTCATATTTTGTATTGGATAAGTGACTCCGAATCCTTATTTTGTATTGGATAAGTGACTCCGAATCCTTATTTAATCTCAGACATGAAATATAACTGTTTATATCATATAATTATAACGTCTATTTGTGGTTATTGTGTCTGTTAAAATTTGAATTTGCACATGCAAGAATTTGTACGTTTTATATTGAAATTATTTCATTTCAATGCCGTCACATATTAGTTAAAATGAACAATTCAAATTTTGAATAAACACATAGTAAATACTGGGTTTTGCACTTGTTAATTATGCATTCTATTTTTAATCACCCCTCTCCTGGATTTCCAAGGTCTTTCAGGCCATCTAGTGGCAGCTCTCTCCCCTTGACAAGTAAAATAGAGTGCATCAGGGCACATTATGCCTTAAAGGATTAATGCTGCCCACAATATGGTAAAAAGTATAAACTTTTCCTAGCTTGAGCTTGAAGGATTTCCAATCTAAACCCTTGTAGAGTTTATATACTGTATGTGCCTGTTTACATGTATGTGATAATGGCATTGCTGGATAGGAGGTTTTAATCCAGTCGTGCTGAGAAACTTGGCTAAGCAAAACAGTAATGTTTATATAGATGGGATACATGCACCCCGCCAGGAAGGGATGATAGAGTGCTTACTGTATATGAGAATTTCTCGTTGTGGGAGGTGGGATCCCGGCAACAAGTAATGAGGTCTCACCTAGGCCAGATAGAGGTGGAATCATTTATTTTACTGTAAACACTCGATAGAGTTCATATTGCAAGAGGGATCATAAAACTAGTATTCTTTTTACAAGTGCTGACATCTTGTATTTTTGTTGCAAGCATACCTATTACAGCCAACTTACAGACGAGGGAAAGCTGCTTAAAATTACTACATGGTGAGTGTGATTATAGAGATTCCTTTATAGGTAGATTTTATCCCAGAATCTTGACTTAGATCATTACCCATTAGAGTGAGTGGAAGTCAGTGCCAACAACTCACCCCAAGGCAAAGCCTTCCATTCTGCACTGAAAAGTATCAATTATGAATGCTGGATTTTGTTCATTCAGCATTAGCTTCCAGAAATGTGATAAAAAGGCAATGTGCATGTAATACAAAGCTAGATTGATTTATGACTGTCTTATAAATGACCATTTCATTAGGCGCTAGCACTCTCCACTTGAGTCTTGGCAAGTAGAATTGTCTCATGTTAGACAAAGTACAATAATTTGGAAATATCAGTAATTTTATGTCATCTTTGAATTTTGTGAAATGACATGGAATATCGGTGTCAGTATCTGCAAAATATCGGTCCTTCAAAATATCGGTTATCGGAATATCAGTGAATTTCCATATAGTGCATCACTATTTCTGGGTTAGCATGTACTAGCTATAATTTGGTCTATGGATTGGAACCATAGTGAATCAAATTTTTCCTATGAAAACAAATATTAAGTAATTTATCTGTAATCATTATGTAGGATGGAATTTACAAGGTGATAAAGAATTTTTGAACATGGTAGATGCTTTCTAAAATGCAAGGGTGATGTTGTTGGTACTGTATTTGTGATCTAATATATTGGCTCATTCCTGATTACAGAAAACATTGATATGGTTATGGTTTCACTTCAGTTGTACATGAGAGGCATGCTACTTGTTTAACCCATTATGTGACAGCACTGGAAAGTAAAACAATAAGACATTACACATATACAGTAAATGTGTTGCTGTGGATGCAAATTTTACTGACATTTTTTTGGTAAAATTTAAACATAATTTTTTGTAGTGTGGGTATTGCCACACCAAAATGCCCAGAATCTTGTAAATATTTTAATGTTAAACTTGTAAGTACACCTTTTAAACTTGCATTGTGTGATTATTAATATGTCTAGTGAGCAAAGATAAAATGGTGCTGTCTTCCGAATCGAAACATCCCCTTTAGAAACACCTAAACAGCCCCTTTTGAAAGTACCAGCGAACTGCGAGCTCAGGAAAATTGTGCCTCACCGGGTACAAGCAAAACAGGATTTAGTGAATATAATAAAAGAGGGGACCAGTATACAACAAGTGGATTATTCGGTGAAACTACTTGCTAAAATGTGCTTACTGCAGTAGGGAAGGTCACTTTTCATCTAAATGTCAAAATGTTTCTAATGTCCAGTCTCGTAAGGCTATTTTGCATAGAAACAGAAGGTGTTTTATTTGTTTGGAGGCTGGACATATCACCAAAAATTGCAAAGCTAACTACATTTGTAGGAAATGCAAGGCAGGAAAACAACATATTCCCATATGTGAGTCATCCCCAGCCAATCATACAGAAAGTTCTCCAGAGCTGAAAAATGATAAAAATAATGTAAAATCGGATACTCAAGGTTTTGTGGGTCATGCTAGTTGTGATAGGAGTGGCATACTTTTACAGACAGCTAGAGCAAATGTACTACCAGTAGATGAGATCAGCACCAGAATTTTCTTTGACAGAGGTAGCCAAATGTCTCAGAGAAATTACGAAGTCGGCTCAAATTAAAAACAATCAGGACAGAAAAGGTTGTGATAAAGGACCTTCGGACAGAGTGGAGGCGCAGTGAAGTCCAAAAACTAGACATAGCACAGTTCAAGGTTAGGAATAAGAATGATCCCTGATTCACCTTTGTAGAAGCCTTGTGTGTACCCACTATATGTAGTCCTTTGACGAACCAACCCATTGACAGTGCATGCAATTTACCGGAATTTAAAAACTTAGAGCTTGCTGATTTTGGGCATGATCAACCAGGTCTCCCAGTTGGGATATTAGTTGGAATAGATTACTACCATACTTTCATGACTAACAGGGTAGTAAAAAGTCAGGCAGGACCTGTCGCTTGCAGGACTAGGGTCAGATGGGTGCTAAGTGGGCGGTTTGGTTCTCCCTCACCTGACATGCATTGTTTCGAAATACATTTACTGAGGGCTACTGTTGAGCAGAGGCACACAGATCGAGACCTAAGAGAAGATTTAGAAAAATTTTGGAACGTTGAAAGTGTAAGTACTGCCAGAAACAACATTGTTGATCAGTTGAAAGTGATATTGTGCATGATAAGACTAGATATATAACTAAATTGCCCTTTAAACCGGATCATGAAGTACTTCCAGACAACTTTAATGTTTGCCAAGGGTGACTGAAATCTTTGAAAAGCAAATTAGTCACAAATGATATAATAAATGATTACAATCAAATATTTGTTGAATATGAGAAAAGTCAAATCATAGAGCAAGTCCCTTCAGATCAGGTTGCAAAAGAGCCAGGTCAGGTTCATTACCTCCCTCATAGGCCTGTCATTCGAAATGATAAGGACACAACTAAGATCAGGACGGTATTTAATGCCTCATGCAAGGTTAATGGCCCATCCCTGAACGAGTGCCTCTGCTCAGGCCCAAATCTAATTGCAAAAATTTTCGATATTTTACTAAGATCAGACTTAACAAACTTGGAGTTTTCGGGGACATCAAGCAAGCTTTTTTGAATGTGGGCATAGATAGCCAACATAGGGACTTTCTGCAGTTTTTATGGTACAAAAGAAAGGAAGAAGATGAGCCTATTGCAATTTATAGATTTAATAGAGTAGTGTTTGGTATAACCAGCAGTCCATTTTTGTTAAATGGAACTATTAGGCATCATCTTGATAAATACGCGCACAATGAGCAGGAAGTTGCACAACAGATGAAAAACGATCTTTACGTAGATGATTTAGTAAGTGGATGCAACACATCTGAAGCAGGCAAAGTTCTATATGATAAGAGTAAGGCCATTCTATCAGAGGCAGGATTAGATTTGCACAAGTGGGTTACTAATGATCAAGAATTAAGAATGTACATTGAGTCAAAGGAGAAGCTAATTAGTGATTTTTCCAACAAGGACAATGACATGACTTATTTCGAAGTGACATCACCAAACATCAATGTAAAGCACAAAACAGTTTCAGGCGTTAACTGGGATTTCACTTACAATTTTCACTCCAGTACGTGTGTAGAGCTTTTTAGAGGATATATTCTGTTGGATGGATTCGGAGGTTGCTCTTTGTTGGATAAATGGAAAGGAAAAAAGTTGGGAGCCTTGGGTGGTTGCAATAAGGAAGGTTGTGGATCGGACAAAGTGGAATTTTGTGAAGGGCGAACTCAATCCAGCGGATATCCCAACTAGGCTGTCTTCCAATTTGGTAGAATGCTTTTCAGAATGTTGGTTTGAGGGTCCTGTGATGTTGTGGTCTCAGGATGTTGGGTGTAGTGACGAAATCTCTTTGGTTGGGAGGGAGGAATCAGTAGTTCCTTCTCCATTCACGGTGGATTGAACGGTCTTTATGTAAATGATCAAAATAAATTTATAAAAAGTTAAGATTAGTCTTGCTTTTTAAAATATTGATATATATTCACAACTTTTGAATATCACAAGTTGTTCAGGGCGAGAAGTCGTGAAATTTCATGAATTTAACGAGTCATACCAATATTGTGAAGGTCTTACTAATGGCTATAAACCACGACTCGTGAATCACGACTTTCACAGGTCATTGATTGTGGCAGTATTGGACATGTTTGATAAAATTGAAGCAGATGTAGTGTATTTCAAGGCATATTTCAACACATTTAAATATTCAGTATTCACTTTTAAGAGCCATGGAAAATTGTTTTGTTGATGGAAAACAAGTTTGTGGATGTATACACAGACGTTTGCAGATAATGTTCAGTGAGGGCCCATATCTGTCAATAGACAATGTGCAAATGACTATTGTACAGTATATGTCAAATAAATTTGTGATGAGGTGAGTTAATGCCACTTACATAAAGTTTTACTGTGTCTTTTTTAACCAAGAGCAAAATGAGTAATTATTGGCAGACTCCGCATGGGAAATGCCGAGTCTCATTAAAATCGTATAGGAAAATTAAAATCGAAGAGGAAAATAAACTATGTTTTAGCAGACTCTGTACTCCGCATTCCATACTCCACTCCATCATTTCCAGCATGTCCTTCTCCATCCTATAATCATTTCTATATTTAGAGAGCCAAATGCGCATGTGCTGTATGGGTGCCTTCAGCAATGCACTTATGCACAGAGTATTACAGGCTTCTTTGGTTTCAGTGTACTGAGTGTTTAAGTGCAGCCCTCATTATTATGTGGTGTAGCACCTTGTACAGTTGCTGTATAAAGTGCCGATATTATTTAGGTGGTATATTCGTAATTGAATGCCGGTAATGCATAACATCACTTTAATTATTGCATAAATCTCAAAGCTTTTCTCAATATTTACGCCCTGAAAACATTTGAAAACTAAGGATCCAAGGATAGTGTAAAGTTTCATATTGAAAAAAAAAACAAGGCAAGAACTGTATAGGGTCACTGACAACCTAGAACTACTAGGGCAGCCATGTTACTCAAAAATGTGGATTAGAGATAAACAATTCCTTGCCACTCCCTTCATAACTTGTTTATTAAATGTTGAATTGAAAATTGTTTTGTTCTCTATACAGTACCTTTAAACTGACTGTAGTTAATTCAAATTTGTAAGATAGTTAGATAGTAGGAGCGTACAATTTAAGGCTTTTAGCCCAAAAAACATTCCAGAAAACATTCAGGTCCTATACCACAGAAATTGGAAGTCACCTGCCCCCTTTGTGTGGTTGACATATTATCATCCAAAACATATATTTCCCCTCCCCTCAGATTGCAGAAATCTCCACTACAGGAGATTGAGGATCTTTTCTGGAATGACTCAATATATTGTTTTAAAATAATATAAACAAATGTTATCTAACAAAATAAACATATTTCATCTGTTTTGTGTCTGAATAAAATGAAATAAAATATAATAATAAAAGATGCATTATAACATTGAAATGCCCCATGCTGCTCCCAATATGTTTGCAGCATTTTTCTTTAACCATGCATTGAGTGCCCTTGACAAGCAAACTCATCTGGCTTTAGACTGTCAGGTAAAATAACAATGCAACTCAAGGGGTTAACAGACATATGGGCATTAATTAACCTATTGAGCACCAGCACTCTGCCTTTGAAAAGTAAATTTGTCTGTGAGAGACAAACCCTTACGAAAATATTCTATAGAATATTACATTGAAATATTCTATGGAATATTCTATGAAATATTCTAAAGGATTTTGGAACCTATTCTATGGCATATTCTATGGGATAGTCTATGGGATATTCTAATGGATATTCATTTGAATTCTATAGAATATTCTATGAAATATTCTAAAGGATTTTGGAACCTATTCTATGGGATATTCTATGCAATATTCTATTGGACATTCAGTTGAATTCTATACAATATTCTATAGAATGCTCTATAAAAAATTCTATAGAAAGTTCTATGGAATATTATATGGAATATTCTACTGAATATTCTATGGAACATTCAGTTGAATTCTATACAATATTCTATAGAAGGTATGGAATATTCTATATAACATTCTGTATAGATTATATAAGATATATAAAAGTTTCTATTAAGAAACATTTATTAAAACACAATTAACATTGTATAAAGAACTTGTTTAATTATTAACTAAACATTAGTGAAACAGCTAGTTAACTATGATCAGAATTATATGTTTATAGCTACCATTGAACTACAGTAGGAAATGGGTATTTAAAAAGTAGTCAGCTGCTGCAAGATACAACTGCCTCATGCCTGGAAACAATTATAGCAATTTTATTTGGTGGAGAATATCACTTACATAAACTTTGCAGCAAAGATTTCAATGTGCCTGGATTTCAATATTAAGTATGTATAAACAGATGTAAATATCCAGGCTTTAATTAAAATTAAGTGCTGCCAACAGAACCAATGTATGTGGCATATTGTCCACAAAACAAAACAACTATGCAAGAATTTAAAAATAAACATTGGGCTAGTCAAACTGTTGTAGGATTACTCTATTTAGTGAATATATTTATTAGAATAAGTGTCAATGTTACTGTTATGTGTAGATACTTTCTTTTTTTCACAATATTGTTAATCCTTGTGTTCATCATTGTTAATCCTTGTGGTCATCATTGATGCATAAGGTCTTGAAGAAGAACACTGGCCATTTTGCAAGAGTCGTAATTGCTCTTCCAAGTTGGAAACAATATAGGCATGGCATTACTATACAAAAATGAAAAATGAGTAAATGTTACCCATTAAGTTTCATTGCATCCTACTTTATTATTTTACTCTGTCTAACACCAGACAACTTTAGTCTTCAAGGGGATAGCAGTTTTGCTCAATGGATTAACCCTTTCATGCACCCCATATGCCCAACTTTAGTATTTAGTGTCTAACGCTCACTCTATCTCATCGTCTGTGTAAATTTAGTATTTACTCTGTCAGACAATGTTACTCGTCAAGGGAAGAGTCTTGAACATTAATGGGTTAACAAGACATCTGCCATTATGTCCTGTTAACCCATAAATACTAAATTTAACATTAAATAAATCTTAATGAACTCAATTAAACACATACCAGTTGCCACGGCCCAGCTTAGGGGTGTTTACAAGATCCAAACTGATTTGTCTGGCTTGGGGGGGGGGGCACTTTAGCTAGGCCAGTATATAATTTTCTTCATATAAAGCACTAAGAAGACTAGTCTGGCTATAGGCAAGGCTACGATATTCTGTATCAATTGCAATAAACTTGGACAGTGCTATTTTTACCTCACAACACCAGTTTGTCAACTCAATCCAGAAATTTCCAACTGTTGAGAACAATATTTTGAGCCGGGCTATAGCCCAGCTGCAATATTTAATCTAAAAATGTACAAGGACAACATTTGAGGTTTTGTCTCAGCACTAGCTAGTGAGTATAGTGCTTATTCCAGCTTTACAAACATATCATTTTATACACCTGAAGCTCATTAACCCATTCCAAATTTGAATTTTGGGCAAATAATGTGCTGCAATTTGCAGCTTTCAACACACTGAAAATATCACATCAATACTTATATTTCAAGTATTAAAATGATAACATATCTTAATAATATTAATATATTTCATATACTTTGACAAAGGTCGTCTAGCAGTGCCAAATTATGCCAAAGGCAAAGACACTTTATATTGTGGATTGTTATAAATAAACAACAGTGCGTAATTTAGTATAGAATTCCCAATATATATATATATATATATTCGAATTCATATTTTATTCTTTCTTCCATCGCTAGAAACCGAAATTTTGTATGTTTTTATGCAAATTGACGCGGCAAATTCAAACATTCAACGGAATATTTTCACACATGACTCAAATTCACTACATTATTTCGGAATTAAAGTGCTTAAATAGCATCAAACATGAAAGTATTCTTACCTGTGACATCTGAATAACATTTTAAGAACTTTCCAATGCCGTTTCCATCGTTTGGGTTGAAAATATAAGGGAAAATTTCCCTTCAAATCCGTCCATGTGTGAGTAATTTGAATTTGCAATTTTAAAATGACGCTATCCCATGAAACTTTGCGCCCTCACACGTAAACACTAGGTACCAGGCTTCCAGTCAATGCGCGACGAGAAAATCAGAAAACATATTAATATCTCATTGAAGAAAACAAATGTACTGTGAAATATTAAAGTATATTATTAAGTAATTATTAGAAAATATTCAAGAACAAATTCTCTTGAAAGGAACAAACTTATTCCAAGAACAAATTGTCTTGCAAAAACCAGATTTCTTAGTTAAGAAATATTTTTCTAAAATCACAATACTTTCACCGATTTTTTGCTGTGTACTAGGCAGTATAAATTAGGCTTAAATCGATATCAATTATAGGTTTATCACATTCTATGAAATTATCTATAGAATATCCCATACTATTTCGGCATTAGAAAATATTCTATAGAATATGTTATTGGATGTTTCATATGAATGTGCAATAGAATATTCTATAGGATCTGGAACTTCTATCGAATATGGCAATAGAATATTCTATAGGATTGCAAGTCCCATAGAATATTCTATAGGATATAGAATATTCTATACCATATTCTATAGGATTCTATAGAACATTTTCGTAAGGGAAGTAAAATAACAAAGTGGTGTATGTGCTGGCTTTTGCATTTGGGTGAAATGTAACTCAACGGGTTTGTGGTACAATTACTCAGGCTATATAGCCAAAAACTATGACAAGAATTATGAAGAAGCAGATTGCACAGTTG